CCTCTTCCCAGGCCATCTCCTCCTCTTCCCAGGGCATCTCCTCCTCTTCCCAGGCCATCTCCTCCTCTTCCCAGGCCATCTCCTCCTCTTCCCAGACCATCTCCTCCTCTTCCCAGGGCATCTCCTCCTCTTCCCAGGCCATTTCCTCATCTCCCCAGGCCAGTTCTTCCTCTTCCCAGGCCAGCTCTTCCTCTTTGCAGGCCAATTCCTCTTCTTCCCTAGTCTGTTCCTCCTTTTTCCTGGCTAGTTCCTCCTCTTCCTCATCCAACTCCATCTCTTCTTGGGACAACTTTCTCTCTTTCCAGACCAGTAATCCCTCTTCCTTGGCCCACATGTCTTCTTCCTGGGTCAACATTCTCTTTTTCCAAGCTACCTTCTTCCTTCCCAGGGCAGATTTCCCTTCTTTATGGGTCATTTTTTTTCTTTTTCCCACAAGTCTCCCCTCTTCTCCAGTCAGTGTCTTTTCTTTGAAGGTTAACTTATGCTCTTTCTTGGTTAATTTCTTTTGTGGAGCTGGTATTTCTTCTTCCCAGGGTATCTTTCCTCCTTCATGGGCGAGGGATGTTTTATCTTTGGTCAGTTTCTTCTTTGCCTGCATTAATTTTTTCTCTGGTTCATTCAATTTCCTCTCTTCCTCAGATATTTTCCTTTCTTCCTTGGCCAGTTTCCTTACTTCCTTTTTAAATGTCCTTTTCTCCAAGACTAGGTCACCTTCTAAAAGACGAACTTTCTTTTTCTTTGCTTTTTGAGAAAATGTCTTGCTTTTACTTGACACTTTTTTATACTCTGCTTCCCTCAATCCCATTGTCCCTTCTTCCTCGACAGCCTGTTTAATCACTTTTTCTATAATGATGGGTGGCTCTTCCACTACTCTCTTATCAAATTCTACTGGGAATGAGCTTGAGTCTTTTAATAGGGGGCAAATCTCTTGGAAAAGATCCCAGCTGGGCTGTCGATCAGCAAGCATCACCTGAGCTAGGTCTACCAACTCTTTACTGAGATCCTTTAACATTTCTGGATGGAAACCTGCTATCCTTGAGGTAACAAGATGGCAAATGTCATCCCGCCAAGACTTGGTGTCTAATCTACTTAGGTGTCCCGGAGTCCCAGCCAAACCACGGCCATGCTTTTTAAGTGTCTTCCTTATTTCTTTTTCTTTCTCAGAAACCTCTTCTTCTTTGGGCTCTTCTATAGCCACCTCTGAAATATCCTTCAAGTCTTTTTCCTTTAAAACCTTTTCATCTGTTTTTTCAAGATGTTTTTTCACTGCCATTTCCAAAAGCCACTTCATGTGTGCTTGTTTTTCCACCTTAGGGCTCACCTTTCCATAATCTTTCACATTACCTTGACCTGTGTCCTCCATAGCTCCTGTGGCCTCCAATATGACATCCCCTGACTTAATATCATCCTGTGATTGAACTGGGCTGAAGGTAACATACATGGTGTCAAATTGCCCTGATTCCCTAGCATCTCTTTGTTTACCTTCATCCTCTGCAGACATTAACACAGAGCTTAACTTTCCCAATTCTTTATCTTTGTGCTTCCTGGCAGCTCTCAGGTCCTTTTCAACTGCAAAGATATTGGGATAAAATTAATTAAGAAAAACATAGATATCCTGAGTGAAATCCTTTGAAATATTTAGCTCAGTAACTGACAAAAGAGATACAAAGGCAAAAAGAAAAAAAAAAAAAAAACAACTCCACTATTGTTGCGTTGGATCCTACTCATAGCGACCTCTCCTTGCATTTCTGAGGTGGTATCACCATGGAACTAGATTGCCCAACCTTCCTTCTGAGGAATAAGACCCTAGTATTTGTTATGGGATGGATCTTTCCCAAGAAGTTTGCATTCTGTGAAAAAAGTCCTCCCATTCTGTGCTTATTGGTATCTTTTTATATAGCTTTATCTTAGTAACCCTGCCTTTTGGGTCCACTGAGGGCCCCAAACATACCCCATATATCATCTCATACATACAAAGTTTTTGGCTCTTTCCTTGAATACTTTTCTTGCTTTTCTTTTTAGGTATGAGTGTTGATTTGGCAAGGACCTCAAATTCACCAGCCCTTGAAAAACTAAAGAGTTTCTCTTTATGTGAAATGGTCAGATTTTCATTCAGCAGCTCCTCCACATGAGTAAGCAGCAGTTGGATATCTGTATCCTGAATCCCAAGCAGCTCGGTCATAGAGTGTTCCCCAATGATTTCCTGCCTATAAAGTCAAGGGAGAAGAAGGACAATTGATACTGAGTCAAGGATAAAAACAAAATTCAAAAGCAGAGCAATAAGCTATGGTGGAAGAAGCGGAAATAAAATAGCCATTTAGGACAGAGTAGGGTAAAGTTAAAAAAAAAATAAAAAAGAATAAAGAAAGACTCAAGGATAACAAGGAATAGTCAAGTTGATATAAGATGCTTCTTTGGTTGGGCATTTTGGAGACTTGAGTCTTGAGGAACCTCAAATAAGTGAGAAAATGATGGAATGACAGGTTGTTCAAGGGTTGAAAGGAAAGGTATAGGTCCTGGGCAAAAAAAGCAAATAGAAACAAAGAATATAAAACAAAGAAAAGAAAAACAGATATGGAAAGGAAGAAGAGACAATCAGATTCAAGAGTCTAGGAGGTAGTAGGAATCAGAAGAGAAGATGGCTACCATCCAACTTACTCCATTTCCTGTAAAGTTTCTTGTTTCTGCAACAGGCGTACCAGCATGGTCTTAGTGTAGATGCCTGCGACTCTTGTCATAAGGTATAAGGCCTTAGTCCGTACATTCTCATCATGGTCCATCAATCCCACAGTCAGTGGAATAGCAAAGAGGTGATTCATGAGTCCTAGACTGTCCAGCCCCTCCCAGGCTAGCATACGGATATGTGGATTGTAGTGGACTGTATCATCCATTAGGTGACGGGCAGCCTCAGAAAGTAACCTTGGATGCACCTGGTAAGTGGCAAAAATTTGTGCCAGGATATGCAAATATCTTTTGTACTTCTCTACAGAACAGTAAATTGTGAGATTAAGGATAGCCTCGACTAAATTATCTATAAGTCCTTCACTAAATTTTCTTCCTATCCAATTTTGGTTTGTCATGCTTAGGGAAAAATCATAGGAAGTTCCTTTCAACTCCTTACATTCATCCACCAGTTCACTTATTGGGATCTTCTCTTCTACCAGTTTCGTAGGTTTAAAGGGTTCAGTCATGTCCCAGGTCTTATCTCGGTAGGGTGGGTGCAGATCACATCGCAAGAAGATTGGAGTACCCTCAGGCCAAAGACAGGCACGGATCACTGAGTTGGGAATGTAACCATCAGGAGTAAAGGGCCACTGCTGCCCTTGACCGAAGTAGTACCGTAGCATATGGTAGGGGTTGAGTCCATCCCAGCCAGTTAGCAGTAACTGAGCAGGAACCACACGTGGGAGACGATTATGCTTGGCATCATGATCAGACAAAACAATATCCTTTTCTTCCAAAAACTGCAATTTGAATCCTTGATTCCCAAGAGACCTACGTCCCTCTTCCTCAACAACATGGGGCACACTATTGTCAAAGGCAATGCCCCGTTTATTGTCAAGGGTCTCTAGCCCCTGTAATTCCTGCAGCCCTTGCCCAAGGTAAACAAATTTGGGCACAAATACTATTTCAAATGAAAAGAAAAAGCTAGGCATGAAGGGCTTAGGGACTTCTTGTATTTCATCTGCAATGTTTAGGATTGCTAGGCGAGTCAGCAGAGCAGGAGGAAGCAGTTTTAAGCAGGATACCAAGTAGAGACTTTCATTAAAAGTCAAAAGCAGGTCACCACGATTATTGGCAAAGCAGACTGGGCCAAAATGTAATGCTGAGTTCAACTCAGCTATTAGTCTACCACGGAAGTTCCATATCCGGACTGAGCCATCAATGCCCCCTGTGACAAAAATTTTCAGAGGAAGGCAGATATCAAATGAAGTGATGGTACATTGGTGCAGGCATGTTGTCTCTCTAAATTGAGAGTTCTGATCTGATTCTGAAGATGTCAGAAAGTCTTGGTAATGCCAGAGTCGCCAGCAGCAGTTCTCAGTGATGGCACCCACTGAACTGGGCAAGAGTATCACGTATTTTAGGGGGCAACTGCTAAGAATTTTGTGGAGAGGCTGAAGGATTACTTTGTTTCCCTGAAGCACAGCCTCTGTCAGGTGAATGAAGCTATCTATGCCATACGAACAGAGCAAGGAGTTTTGATGGGGACCTTCCAAGGTAGACAGTACCAATACTGTCCCTAAGTGAATAGTCTTCTCTATTCGGGCACAGCTGTAGTGGGAAAGGGTTCTCACAATGCCACTCTTATGCCCACAGAACATCAGTCCTTGTAGGCCCTTACCCAAATCAGACCGCCCATAGGCCAGGCATGTTATACTATCTCCAGAGTTTACTGAAGTGCAAAGAAGATATTTGGCTGTGCAAGGAGATCGAGTTGCATCAAATACCAGCACATCTGAACTGCCTGTTGCCACAAAGAGCTCCTCCCTATCTGAGTCATAGGCCCAAGCCACAGCTTTGTCCATGATAAGGAGAGGCCAAGTGATAACCAGGAGACCGCCTGTAACTGGGGACAAGAAGCGCAATAAACCATCCTTAGTGGCACAAAGGATCCGGGTCCAATTATGGCTGCAGCATACCTTCTGTACTTGCTGAGGAGCAGAACCACAGACATTGAAGAGGCTATAAAAGTAGGGCAGGTGGTACAATGAGAAAGTATAAGTAGTCTGGCAGAAAAAAGTGGTGCTGTCTATAAACTGCAGTTGCTTCAGATCCTGATCAATATCCAGCTGCCGCAGCAAGTTCCCAGAAGTGAGATTCCACTCCTTGACTGTGCCTTCACTACCCGCTGTTAGTAAGGTGTGGGTGTCTGGCCGGCTATGGACACATACCACTGACGAGGAATGGGCCTGGAAGCTGTGGAGGAAGTTATCCTGGTTTAGACTCCAAGCATGGATCTCCCCAGCTCTATTTCCAGCATAAAGATAGCCCTGAGAGACACAAGTGAAGGAGCAGGTAATGAAGGAGCCACTGACTGTGGTAGTGAACCTCTTTACCTCTTCCAGCTGACCCTGACCCTGGTGAATGAAAACCTTCACTGTATTCTCACATAGAACCAGGAGGGAGCCCTGGGAGCCACTCAGAGATAAACCCTGTACAAGCTCATGATCAGGCATGGACACTGTTTGAGCCATCTGGAGACCTTTCCCATCTGGTAAAATAAACCAGGTAATCACAGCTCCCAAGGTACCAGACAACAGCATCTCAGTTTCTGGGTCATAGCAAAGGCAGGTGATGGAGAAATGGCAGTGCACTGTACCCAGAAATCGGAATTCTTGATGGTGATCTCCA